TAAAAAAACCTGGTGATGCAGCTGTTGTGCATTTGAACTTACATTGTTACATTGCATGCTGAGTGTTCTCATTTTAGTGAAGAGATGATTAGGAAAGTCTATAAATAATTTAAACTATGTCAGTTAAGAATTGTTGCATGTGTGACTGTGAGGCAACATAGTTTGGGCTATTGGAATATGAGGGTAGACCTTCAACCACTAATGTTGAACTGAACATCAAGTTTGTTGTAGGACACTATTGATATTTTAGAGTTGATGAATGCTCTGGGAAAATAAATATAATTTTGATTTATTTTAGTAGTTGTGTGGTTTTTGACTATTGTTATTGGTTAATGATAATCATTTCTAAGGTAATTGCACATTTTACCATCTGCATCTCAAATAAATTCCTTATAATTATTGTTGTTTTCTAAATTCTCCTTAACAGGTGCACTTGACTGAGAGAGAAAGGCAGAAACTGCAGGTGTGGTCTCGAATTATGCCTTACAGAGAGTCCTTCGCCTGGGCTATTGTTCCTTTATTTGATAATAGCATTGGTGCACCTTCTGGTGGATCTGCTTCTCCTAGTAGCCCTCTTGCTCCTAGCATGTCTGGGTCTAGTTCCCATGAGGGTGTCCTTGAGTCTGTTGCAAAGATTACATTAGATGGGAAGATGGGTTATTCAAGTGGAAGCTCTATTGTTGTTGAAATATCTAACTTGCATAAAGTGAAAGAAAGCTATACTGAGGAGTCGCTTCAGGTATATTGGACATCTAACTTGCTCAATTTTATTTGACATTCTAGTTGATTTGTGGCTTTTATTTTCTATGGTTTGCAAAGAAAAGTTGAAGACTAGTTGAAGTCCTTCATTTCTTCCATCCCTATATGTATAATTTTGATTGCTTATAAGGTTTAATGTGGTTATTACATGCCAATATAAACTGGCTGAAGGTATGTTCATGGAGTCATCCTGTGCCAATGGCAATAGGAGAAGATGAGGACAAGGTAGAGGGTAGGGGAGGCTATGGGAAATGGGCCTTTTGCATGTCAATTGTAATTATATGTCAATGAGTTAGATGAGCTGTAGAAGGTTTCTGTTCATTTAGAGCTTTACATTTTTGTGAAAGTGAAACAAATAATGATGTAATTCTAACTTGTGAACCAAAATTTGCTTTCAATTGGAGGTTGTACTGATCAACTTATGGAATACTTCATCAAACAATACAATTTTATAAAATTTCTTATCTGCCTTTGTGATTAAGATATCTTCGCTGATAAGAGGCATGGAGGGGGTCATTTATGAAGTATTTGGAAATATTATCATGTCATGCCATGGCTTTAGCAAATTTGCATGCATTTGAGTGATAAGTGCAAGGGAGCTAATTACCCTCAATGACTGCCTGTTTGGCAGAGCTTACTCTTCAACTTGTTTATAAGCACTTTTTCCCCTGACAAGTCTAAAGAAGTATCGGAGGGAAACTCTACTTTTTAGCATTTGAAATGCTTATAAGAAAGTCTTGAAGAAAGTGAGTGAGGTGCTCATAAAAAACCCAAAACAACTCTGCGAAAGAAATGCTGTGAAAAAAGGGAGGTCAAAGAAATGAAGAATCTGAAATGTTCTCTTGATATTTTATGATAACTTATCCTTTTTTGAGTATAGAAATGCACGTAATTACCTTTTTCACTAATTAAAAGCATTTATAT